GTTTCACCTTCCGTTAAAAATAAAAGATTTCATAGAACAAAAGTGCTAGTACATCATGCATGCATGGTGTACTCGTATGCTTCATACACTTAGCCTTATTGTTTCCATTAATGCTCAGCAGTACGTAAACAATGCAGCAATGACTCGATGTACATGTACAAACATAATATGTACAAACGTGCATATTTAGTTGCTATTTACTTTTGTCGAATAATTATTGAAACATAACAAATGTATGTAATTGAAACGTAGGTATATGGTTGAAACATTAGCTTTTATTAACAATTAAAGAAACATAATTTATTTATTTATTCATCAAGGTCGATTGGTGAACGTGGCCTCCCATAGGAGAGAATTTACCATAAATGCCACGCTGGGCAAGCGGTTTGGCAACCGCATCTTTTTATTCTTTTGATTTATCAGGCAGATGATGCTGTTCATATCCTGTTTCAGTTTCCCTCTGCGCCTCTTACTCTTACGACAACCAAGGAATGACATGGAGAAGTGGATATTTTTACGCTGCCACAATTCAGCTTAAATAGAAAACGAAAAATACTATAATAAATATAAACTGTGTGGTAACAATCCCATCACGGTGAATTGTTTGAGCAAGAAGTGAAGGTATGTCATTCAAAAGTTAGATATAAGTTGTTTGCTTACTGTGATTTTACAGACAGTTAATTAAAGCTGTAAGTTCTTAGTTTGACTTGTGGTAACTTTTGAACCGATAACAATATTAATGAAAACTCGCCGGGATTTGGGCAGAATGGCGGTGACAGAGTCGGCGGGACTGAGGGCGGGCGGGGTAAGTCGTATGGGCGCCTGGCAGTTCGCGTCGCGCCGTTTCGACGAGGTTACGTTTCTCTACGCAACCCCGAGCCGGTTTGGTTCTCGTGGCCGCGTATCTTGATTTCCACTCCTATATTTCAATAAATCACCTTTTCAGTTCCTATTATGGAAAGTAAAATATTTAGAACACTATGAATATCCAACTGTGGTTACTGTGTAGAAGTGGATGTGTTTTCTTTTTATGTATGTCGAAGCATGTTCGGTTTATACGGTGTAGTGGGTTGTCTCTTCGAGTAGTATTACTTAATTTAAATGATTAGAAATTACTAAACACTGCCATTAAATTTCAATGAAATATTACTATGATGCTATTTATACTAAACGTAATTTGAAAGGAATGTTTCTTGTTCATAGACCTATATTTTAAAATTATTTTTATTTATTATTATTACAACTCCAAAATTTTATTTAATTACCTTTATATGAAAAAGTCATCAAAGTATATCCGTGACGAAGTTCAGTAAAATTCAGAATTGATATTTTTACAGAAACGTAGGATTCCTAACTTATCTATATGTTTTTTTGAAGCTGTCAAAATTTTTTACCTAAACAAATTTGAAGTAAATCATTTATTAGTCTTAGTTTCAAGTGATACAACACATCGGTAGGTAAAATTAAATTAGCTTGATGTTTGAATAGGAAATCTGCAAAATTAAAAATCATTAAGAATATTTTTAATACATTTTTATTTACTTGAGTAGTTGAAATACATGGATATAAGCTTATTAACATAGAAACAGACTTTAATACTTATTGATAAAATTAAGATTATTGTATCAATAAGCATTAAATTTATTAAATAAAGTATAGAGCAATATAAAAAAGAACATTATAATATGACTATTCCTTAAAAGAAAACCAGAGGAAAATGTTCACATTTAAAATACCATAAATTGAAATATGCACGTAGCTATATTTTATTTAAATCAATATATGCGGCAATACCTGAAACATTTATTTTAACTCGAGTGTTAAGCCAAATGTAGCTAACTCAAACCGAACCCACTCACACATAATACTGCTGAATTGCTTTATAGATATGGGATTGGTCGCGCTGATACGAGCTAGTTTAGTTGGAATTTCAGAATGAGGCATCCATTTCGGAAAAGAAAACTTCTTATCGCGCAGGAGAATCACAGAAACTTATTTCAATGTTAAACAATTTCCGTTTCTAATAGCCTGTGAGGTAGCTGTCTGAAATGTTTTAATGTTAAAACATGCCCGAGGCCAAAGAGGTGGAGCGCGAGGCGGTACTGCTAGGAACAAAACGATTAGAAAGTTTTGTTTTAAAATAAACTTTATTATTTAATTAGTTCCGTAATTCATAACGTAATGTTTGACTAATTATGAAGTTTGTTTTTTTAACTCGCTCTTTTTATCCATCCCATAAGGCACTGTTTTTATGATAAATATATACATTTTTTTCTAAAAAAACTAAATTGTAAATTGCAAACTAAAAATGCAAAATAGAAAAGTAATTAGATGTAATAGTAGCTAAATGAATCAAGATTTGGTGGCGTATGTGAATTCATCACCTAATAAAATTCTGTGGGTTTTGTGAAAGTCGATTAAGAGGAGAGTTAATAAAAATTCAGATCTCCCACAGAAGGCATAGTTACGAGTACCATCTCATCACCATATTCTAAATACCTAAACGGTCGACGGGAGCTGCTCAAGAGTTGAGATGTGTACGTTCGGTACTGTGATAACTATTATGTCTGCTTTGGATCACAGTACATATTTTCCATAGCCTATGGGTAATAGTAGTATCAAACTTCTTCTACTTTCATGCCTTTTTTTAGGAATTAATTAAGCAACACTTTGTAAGGCACAACTTAAGGGTAATTCAGAGTTTTTTTCAGATGGAAGTAACCTTCAGTAAAATCTATCCCACCCAAAAAAACGTTTATTGTGTACGTGTACGATACAAGACTTGAAATTTGAACGGACGGGCGAAACCCCAAAGTAATTCCAAGAATGTTGTATGTTCCTACAGATATCCTAGATAATAGTTTTTGAGTATATTGATAATAGGGTTTGAAATTGGATCGAAATGGTTAGTGTAAATATACATACCACCAGTGCGTTGCCCATTTTTTTTCCGAACTTGGTGGACACGCTACCGTGTCCAGATAGTTTCTTAACGCAGTTTCTGCGTTTTTATAGGTGTGACTGTCTATAGTATTTTGTGAGTATATATGTCATACTAAACATATTATGTGTATAAAACTCATATACTCACAAGTATGCTAAATGGGGTATATCTTTTACTGTAATGTAACTATTTTTAGATATTATATTTAATATACTTGATACTGGATCTATTGCATATTGTCTTTGGTTTTGTTTTAAAGGAAAAAGTAGTTTTTTCATAAGGCAGTACTTCTGATATTATCTGATCTAATTAGCCCCGTACTCGGCTTAAGGTAGGTATTGTATGATCTGATTAGATTGTTAGCCGAGCGAATTAGGGTTAATTATGGTTTTGCATCCTAAGCAAATGATACCCAGCCGTCTTTTATGATGAAATAGCGATGTTTTTCGATTTGAATAGTCTTGGGAAGATCCTTGGCAGATATCGGTATTATTTTTCGAGGATTTGTTGTCCATCAAATTTGATGTAATGGCGTGGATGATTTCGTATGTTTTTACGTGTCCACTTGGAGACTGAAATCTGTAGAGAAACTGGGGAGTATGAAATGAATTAATTAAATGCGATAAAATTCGTGAAAACTAGATTCCTTCAATGTGTTTGCGTATATATAACAAATCATTGTTTAACATTTCGTTCTTTGTTTTGGTAAGAACTTTCCGAGGAATTCAATCACGAAAATTTCTAGAGAAACTCTATGTCGAGATTTCGTTTAAGGCAAGTTCTCCTTTGACGGAAAATCCTGTCTTTGACAGCAGTTCCAACTAGATAAGTTCTTACAGAGCTTTATCTACGATCTCTTCTGATCTTCAAAGGTGATTTATATATAACTGACTAAAACAAGCACTCATTAGTATATTTTAATTACCTTTATATATTTAACATTATATTTACTCAATGAAAAACGATGAAACAAAGTGGCCACATAATATGGTTTGTCATCCCTGAGGACAAAGATGAAATGCTTCAAAAACTAGATTTGTTCAACACGAGACAGTTTTTAAACGAGACGAGAAGTTTATAAATTAAAATGCTTATATGCATAGAACTATGACTTAATAAGCAATGTAAAAATTATAGTAATGCAGTGTGTAAGGCAATATACTGTGCTGGATTCGGTAGATAGCTATTTTAATTCCCAAAATTTATATAGATTGTTTTAAGTTGTAGGTAGAATTACCCTGCAATGTGTTATGGCAGCCGCAGGAATGATTTGATTAGATCATTAAAGAACCACCCTTACATAATTGCCATTATAAAAATGCAGCATAATGCTGCGTTGTTACGTACGGTAAGTTACTGGTAAAAAATGAACATAAAATATTAACAGAACATTCACTTACTATCAGGTGAGATGTGTGCTCCTTTGAGACTCTTAAAATTATAAAAATCCCGCAGTCCAATAACATGCACATTGTATTCCGCATGTCCCGCAAACTTACACACAAAATCATGCTCAGGGCATCGGTCCATTATTTTTTGTTAATTAAATGACAATGTAAAAAATGTTATCGAAAATTAGGACGTTACGTTAATCGAATTTGAACAATAATTGTGATTTTTTAAAATAATAATATCCCCGAAAATAATACAGAGAGAAAATGTCACTCTATGATTCTTCACAAAGTTGATAGCTTAACAAATATGACCCTCATAATCGTGGTACATTATAAACCTATTTTAAGATTTTTGTATAAAGGACCTAGTGGATCAATTGGCCCTGAACCGTGCTATGTAGCGTTGCTTTGGGGAGACCTATGCTCAGCAGTGGTCTTGTGAAGAACTATAATGAAAATGATGAATTTATTGTACACATTCCGGCAAATAAATGAATTTCAAAGAAATTAATTTGATGATGAGTAAGACTGATAGCTTATGCTAGTACCACAGGTAGGAAAACAAAATATTGGTTGTTTCATTTCTTTAGTAAGGGATCATTTCATGTGCACAACTAATTATTTTAGTCCTAAAGTAAATACCATTTTTCAAATCGTTTGTAATGTTCACAATATGGTTGGTCCAAGATCTTACTGAATTGTATAATGTGTTTACACGCAATCACATGTACTGCATTTGCAGGTACGACTCAAATTATCATTACAGTATATCTAAAGTTTACCGCTCATTAAAGATCTTCCCTATAGATTGACTCATTTGCTTCATAAGGGAATTTGCTTGTGGTTGTTGGCAGTATTTTTTTATTTTTGTTATGCTGCTGCCCATTTCCTGCTTTGTTTCCCTGTTTCGCCTCTCACGACACCCACGGAACCATATGGGATAGTAGATATTCTTACGCCTCCACTACGAGTTCAAGTACGACCCAAATTATGGCATTAAAATTCCTGGGAGCTAGGTTTTAAGATGTTAGCATCATATAGTTTACACCCACTGCTTTGATACACTATGAATATAATATTGTAAATTATTAATACTGTCCTAACTACTCCTTAAATATTATTTTAAACTACAATATTCAAGTACTAGCTAAAAAAATATTTTAAATAATATTTTTAATTATCTTAGAATTACTAGAAGTTGTTTAAATTGTGAAATATTCTTTTCTTACTTATTAATAAGTTTTATTAGAAAATTTTCGAAAGTGACCTTTTTTATCAATTTAAATCTTAAATCGCTAATACGGTTAATATCGCTCGACTGTATTCAAAATTTGTAAATAAAAATAAAGATATTTTTATTAAGCGAATAATAAATTAAACTATCGCCAAATATGGTTTAAATTTACATGAAAACATATCCGTATGGAAACAGCTTATTTGATAACCTACACCTTTTTTAAATCAGTTAAATATTTTTTGACTCAATAGGCAATAAACAAACAGTCCATTTAATCCAAAAAAAAAAAAATTTTTTCTTGTTCAAAAATTGTCAATTTCATTCCAATATTAAAAACGTACATTTCACCGTTGTATCACATGCCTGGGTTAGAGACAACATCCCAGAATTGCCGAAAAAAAACCCATTGATTTTCACTCATGACGTAATAATTATCTTGAAAATTGATAGACCTTTATGCAACACATATAATAGCAAAATCTAGACCGATAGCGGGGTACAGAGTCTAAGGTGTTAGTTATGGTTGCTAATATCGTGAGTACTCTTGCTAAGTGTGCGATTTCGACAAATTGTGCTAATTTTCGTAATTTTATATACATGTTTGTTGCTTTTTAATATAATAATCAATATTAAAAAAAGTAAGAAGCAACGATAGCATAATTTGTTACGTTTTGAATACTGACTTTCCATTCTGTTTATACATATTGTTATAAATAACAACCCCGTATGATATAACTGACACTAAACTAAGCTTAATGAAAAAAAATTATATCACAATAATAAATACAAACTAAATAGATATAAAAAAGATTAATTACCTATCGCTACTGAACGTACGAGGCGAAGCGGGAGAGAGGTCACATACCAGCGAAGTGCACGGTTAAGTCGCGCGTGTTATATCCTACCTACTAACTAATAACTAATAAAGAATATTGGTATTCCTTAGGGGAGGCCTATGTTCAGCAGTGGACTTGTGAAAGCTGTTATGATGATGATGATGATAAGAATCAGCATTTATACATAAAGAAGCTTACATATTTAATGTAATGCGTAAAAAGCATGTTAAATTTAAATGCAAGTGGGTCGTAACTCAGTTTGAAACACTGAGGGGCCCAACTTTATGTAATGACTTTTGTTTGTTTTTAATTTAATTAATTGGAACGGATTATCCTGCTTACCGCAGGGATTTACAGCTAACTTGGTTATTGATCTAACATAAAGGTCGAAGGCCTTTTATTTTATACTGTTTGATTGAAAATAAAAACATGTTTAAATAAAAATTCAAACCAATGTAACATACTAAGTAAATAGTTAATAATACAATGATATAAAATGTTAGCTAAACAATTCTTTTATCAATAAAATAAAGCTCTGTATTCGCACCTGTCTGTGTATTCACTTAAAACTTAAAAAAACCTTATAAATTTTTAATAATATATTTTTCACTAAAACTTCTAATATTACTAAGAACTTCTTGAGGAAGATTTTATAGGTACATATTTTGAGTAATAATAAAACCGCTACTGTTTTTTATAGTAGTAAGAAACAAAGGAGCTTGCAATCTACCAGTTTAAGCTAATGCATTCGATTATAGACATCTACAGTTATCATGGATTAAGAATTAATAAAAATTAATATACGATTTCACCCCTGATAACTTAGATAGAATGACTTGTTACCAAAATAACTTAAACTGCAACTTAGATAATGGTAAATAGTTCGTACATGTCAAGTTGGAGTAATTCACCAGTCAATTTACACCAAATTAAAAAAAATTATTATATTTAAAAAATTATATATTTTTTCACCTCATTACCGGTAATTTTTTTAAAAAAAGAATTGTCAACAATTATTCGTTAAAGTGAACTACGGTGCTTGTTTCAACACAAAAGATAAATACTTCTATCGAACACAAGAGGTACCGTAAATAAAGGTACTCGTATGTGTTTTCTATCTTAAAACTTTTTGTCTCTGAATGTATTCAATAGCAAAATCAGCAACGTTTCCTAACAAAAGAGATTTTTTATTTAATTTGTTTATGGGAAAATGCGTAACCACCACATGAGGCAAGTAGTGAATGCCTCGCGGCGACTAAATTCCCACGGTTTTCATATTTGCCGCACGTCACTTAAGCGCTTTCGCAGAAATTCTGCTCCATCAGCGCCAGTGGCAGCTTAGCAGTCCCTCGTCAGATAAGGATAGCTACTCCCTTATTTTGATCCTTAGGAAAGACGCGCCGGAGCAAAGATGCGTCTTTTTACACGCTACGCTACGCTACGATAAACATGCACATGAGAGCTTGTGCTTCCAGGTATTTGTTTCCCAAATCCAGTGGTGTATTTGATCTCTGGCTATGCCGCCGGTCACGTTTCGACCTCGTGAGGTAGGGTAATACCGAAACACCTTTAAATAGCAGCAATCTTCTTCCTCCGTACAAGTAGGGTGAGAGGAAAACCCTACCCCGAAACCTACCTTGACTATTTATTAATTTAATTTAACTTCCTATAGATAAAAACTTTTTGTTTGAATTAAATTACTTTATTGAGGAACCCTCTCCAGTTAAATAGCATCATGGTACACCATTATACAATAATAAAAATAATTTTGCAGCTTCGTAAAAATGTTTTGATTAAAGAAAAATAAAATCCAATGAAGCGATCGGATATAAAAAATGAACAGGCCGGGCTACGATTACACCGCGCCTGCAGCAAACACATACTATGGAAGCAATAATCGACCCCCACAATATGAACGCGGCTATGGGCAACTTACAGCGGTTCCTCTTTATAGCCCTACTTCGCACCCACTTTCAAATTATGCAGATGTATATGAGGGTAACAATGATACTACCCTAAGAGCGGAGGAAAGACACTGGTACATAGAAAATCATAAAAATTTGTACTCTAACTATGATATCAATAATGATACCATTACTCAAGAGGCGAAAATTAAGAAAGAAGATGAAAAGAAAGCCGATGCGCAGCCAATCAGAAGAATAGACGGGACACAAGCGCGTCAAAGAACGAAAGAGGATCGTTGTTCATGCGAATGCTGGCCAAGTTCAGACAATAATGTAGTTCAAGATAGTGTTGGTAATGAAACAACGAGGTCTCTCTCCGGAGTAGATATGGTTGCCTCTTACGGAGTTTATGGCAATCCACAGGATGATGATAGCTCAGGTTTTGCGCGATTACAAGAAAAGAGCGTTCCTTTAGCTCAAAGGAGCGATGCACCCATTCAAGGAGTGATTGTAAATCAACAAGGAAATAGCGCCGTAATACGTTCGACGTCGTCAGAATCTACATGTGGCAAATGCTGTGTTTGGTCTGCAAATGCTCAACCTACGAATTCTGAAGACTATTGTTGGATACATTACTGTAGACCGGCACTAATAGTTTTACTACTATTATTTTTCTTAGTACTGTTGGGCGTGTCAACAGGATTTTTACTGACAAATAATTGTAAGTATCTTTTCGTATTTTTTACTTTGTTATGATTGTACATTTTTTTATTATAAATACCCGCCGTATAATGGCAAATTGAGAGGCTACTACCCCATATTATGCCGGGCAGTCGTAAAAGGCAACAGACGACAGACTCGCAGCAGTATCTTCCAGCTAACAACTTAATTTAAAATAAAACTGTGGTTGCAAACTCATTTACAAAGCGTGGTAATTATGGAAAATACCCTCCAGTAAAGGCCATCTACAGGAGAGACCCATGTTTGGACGTGGACTTTCCAAAGGCTGCAAGGAATCAACGAAACGAATAATTTAAAACATATTGTACAATATGTAACCTTTAATATTCATTAATCGTTTTACGCAAAAATTGTTTACTACTATATGGATAAAAGAACTGGATTAACTGACAACATTTTTACTCCCTAACCGTCATTATCGTACTATGTACGAAACTACGTATTAGTAAGGTCGTGAAGATATTTTTTATGAACTATAATAGTCGAATAAAATACGAAATGTCAAATTTATACTCGTAATGTAGATAAAACAAAATGCGATCAAAACGTAAAATTGGGAACTGGAATAATATATTTATAAATGAAATTGAAGTGTCTGTCTATAATGGCGAAAAAAAGCGTTCCGTTAGACTCAGGGGGTTATTTGAGAACAAGACACGAATAACAACTTTTATAATGTTGTATGTCTGTCTGTCTGTCTGTCTGAGCTTATCTTGGGAATAGCTGACCCTATAATAATAAAACTTCACGAAAAAAGAGAGATCAATGCCAGGAGGGATCTAGGCTATATCTTATTTGAAAAAAAAAAACAGAACTTTTTTACAACTACAATGATAGAATGGTCTTGTTAATGATCCTAAAAAATTATAAGAGATATAAAACATTTCCAACAAAACTTTTTTCATACACAAGTTTTTACCCAAAAATGACTTTTATATACATTTATTTTTAATACAATATCATTTTACAACAAAACTATAAGCTGAATAAAACTATATATACGGATTCTATCGCGTTTAATTTACTCATTTTAACTTATTTTTAATTCCCGAAGTTTCGGGTGCTTTACAGCACCCATGGTCACGGGGTGGGGGATGGATATGTTTGACGTCCCAATGTCATAGTTTGACCGGCTACCTTCAGTTTTTTAATATTAATTATCGGTCCGATCTACGCAGAACGAGCTTACAGTAGTCTTGCAATCGTATGCTTGGGTTTGAGTTTAATTTTGTTAAATATAATATCCCAAGCAGATGGCAGCACCCATTCATCTTTTCTATTGAAATTAGGATTTTTTTAATTTTAATAGCCTCGGGTATAATCCAATGTAAGAATCGGCGTTATTTTGCGAAGATTTGTGGTTTATCAAATCTGATAATATAACGATGGGGCCCAATCATGAACATTAATATTAAAAAACTGAAGGTAGCCGGGGTATGTCAAACATCTCAGTCCCACCCACCCGTGACCATGGGTGCTGTAAAGCACCCAAAACATCGGGGTTTAAAAATAAGTTAAAATAAGTAAATTAAACGCGATAGAATTCATATATATTGAATATATAATTTTATTCAATGTTTAGGAAGTCAGTTTTTTAAACTTTGCTTCGCAAAATCAGTAGCTTTTATTATTTTTTTTATATTTTCCTATATCGTACATAGTTTTGAGAATATTGGTATAACACTTAATTCAAGCGACAGTAGCCTAATGGCAGGACACGTACCGCGAACTCAAAAAGGTCGTGGGTTCGAATCCACCATTCGACTACTGGCGTGAACCACTCGGGAATATTAGTAATGTTTATAGCATTGTTAAAATTCTTTAAAAAAAAATTAAGCGTGAGTTAACGATAATTGAACCATACCTGATCAATAACCTAACAATTGAACAAACGTGCACATCTTTAATAAAAATCTGCAGGTTTTATTTGTTAAAGTTATATTAGGATGAAGTCGAGGGTAAAAGCCAGTTTTAAGTACCTTGTTGTTCCACACTATATACAACGCATTCTAAGTGCGAAGTGCGCGTAACGACAGTTTGACAATAATGCATATTATTGTCTTTCGAATCGATTAATGTTTACTACTCACTGTTTATTATAAGAGCATTTTAATTTCATTATAGATTTGTATGTAATGGCATAAAAGAATTTAACACTAAGGGTCAAATGATAAAAGAAATTTTTAATTAATTTCCAAGCATATTCCATTGGAATGTTTTTATTTATTTGTACAAATACGTTTTTATATTATGTAATTTATTGCATATTATTATTTATTTAAAAAATAATGATAATTTTTCATCTCTTAGTCGATTTAACTTGGGCAATATTTGCTGGCTACTAAAATGTCAACTAAGCAGGAGTATAGGTTCGGCCGCACATGGAATACTGTTCCCATCTCTGGGCTGGAGCTCCCCAGTACCAGCTCCTTCCACTTGACCGCATCCAGCGCAGAGCGGCTCGAATCGTCGACGACCGAGTGCTTTCCGATCGGCTCGATTCACCGGCGCTGCGAAGAGATGTTGCATCTCTTTGCATTTTCTTTCGCATATACCATGGGGAGTGCTCTAAGGAATTGTTCGGATTAATCCCAGCCGCCAAATTTCGTGAACGCACTACGGGGCAAATATCCCGATACCATCCACACCATCTGGATGCTTGGCGGTCCACCACTGTACTTTTCCAAAGGAGTTTTCTTCAGCATATGACGTCTCTGTGGAATAGTTTACCACGGGCGATTTTTCCGGACCGATACGACCTGGGAAACTTCAAGAAAAGAGCTTACGCCTTTCTAAAGGGCCGGAAACGCACCTGCAATTCTCCTGGCAAATTTCCAAATCCTTCCTTCCAAATGCTCCTTGCCAAATTTGCACGCCTCTATAACTCTTGCCTTTTGCATTTTGAGACAGTCTAAAGCTTTAAACTTCTTGAAAACTTTCTATACAAGTGAAATCTTGGGACAAAAGCTAGTAAAAACATTAAATATTTTTTTTCAGTTATGATATAAAAACTTACAAGGAATTCGAAGTTAATCTACAAATGTTTAGACTAATTAACTTACAAAATTTCTGACGAAAGCAAAAGTCATGCAATTGCTTTTTGTATCTAATTTTGGGTGGATTTTGTTGAAATGAAATAGTGAGGTGTGTTGAGGCCGAGGGTGAGGGTAACTGGGTACGTACCGCTCGTTTTTCTCTCTGACAGAACATTTATTTTAGCGGCACTTCGAGTGCCGCGTAGACGATTTTCAAATTGTATTGAAACTATTTGAATTAAGACTACGATTTAAATACATATTCATTGAATTATATTTGAAATGGTGTAAAAAGCTTTTACTATTGAAATTTGACAAAGATTCTGATTTTGACATTTATTATTGTCTACAGAATCTATATTTTTTTCAGTAGACCTCTGGTGCATATGAAATTAAATAAAACGCCCATATTTACGTAGAAATTATTAATACGAGTATTAAGAAAATTCACAAGTTATATGTACCATACAACTGGTGCTACCGACTCCATTTTTGTTAATGGAGTTGGTAGCGTATATCCGATATTGATATTTGCAAGCAAGAAGAAGAAGATCGGTGCTTTTTAATAAATTCTAATCATAACTAAAAATAATTGAAATAATTTTTAGTCTTTGGAAAAATAAGTACAATATTTTTATGTGTTTTTTTTTAAATATTCAGACTAAGAATATAGCAGTTATTCACTATAGTATATTTTATTTATCAAATACATATTGTAATATACTATATATATATACAATTAAAACAGAGTTTATAGTTTCACTTTATGATTTACAACGAAATATGCCCCGTTCTTCGCCATATAGCCAGCTTATTGCTAATTTGATGATGCCGTATCACTTTTTCATATCATACTTGTACGGAATAAGCCATTTTAAAGCTAAATATGGGATAGTATTTCAGCCAATATTTTGTTGCCTCAACTTGATACAACTGAGACGCTGAAAAAATGATTGGAGTATAGTCACATGTCTACTGCCAGTCGATGAACCTGGAGCTTTAGCTTTTCTAGTCTCTAAAAAGAAAAGCGACTTGGAATATTGTTACGATTTTGGGATATGTGACGATAAAAACTGCCGACTGAATTACCCCAAATGACATTTTAATTTCCGAACACTAATTACAACGTGAAACACACTAATAATAAATCACATTGATCATTTTAGTTCGCAGTTATATCGCTTCAAAGTAGTCGCTTGTAATGCCAATTCAATTCTTATTCGGTCGCGGTCCTTACTGACCTTATATAGGGCATTCTCTTCTGAAATATCTAGAATGTTCGAGTACATACTGGTGTCGACTAAATATGTGTAGAAAGTTCAAGTATGAAATTTTCTAGAAAGCTCTCCTAGTTCTGCTACTCGATACTAGATGGCACTGCTGGTAATTCGTCATGTATTAGGCATTAATTATGGCACCCAACAATATAATAAAAGATAAAAATAATAGTATAATTTCGATTAACTGTGAAACACCAATACAAAGTGATGGAAATATTATTAACAATCAAACCCAAATAGCAACGTTATTTAATAACTTCTTTATTAATGTTCGTAATGAAAATAATTTACATTTGCTTAACGAAGAATATCAAAAAATACCAAGAGCTGTTAATGAAAAATCAATTCTTGACACTTATTATGGAGCATGAAATCGCATATATTTTTAAATCGTTATATAACACCAAAGCTGTAAGGTATGGCTCTATATCTACAGAAATAATTAAAGCAATTGCTTGTGTCATTACCCCAATTCTTGACCACATAATCACAGATTCCTAGATTCAAGGAAGTCAGATTATATGGTTATGGATTTAGTTAAGCCATTGTATAAGAAAGGTGATAAAGGGACCTGATAACTACCCTATTACTCTTGTACTTATGATATCAAAAACTTATGAAACTACTTTACAACATATTAATTTATTACCTAAAAATGATTTTTT